GGATCATGTCCGGAGAGGTTAAACTCTTTACATTATATTTTGTCGATGTCCAGGTAGTAATTGCATAAGATGGGGACGATTTGAGTTTCATGATCCGTAAACTCAATGAACACTTTTTAAAAGCAAGACTTAATATTAACATGGACAAATCTGAATACCTGGACCTTTTTCTGGAAAATGGATGGAAAATGAAAGGAGTAAACAAATATAAATATTTGGGTGTACTTTTTAACAAAAAGAGAGATAGCCAAGACGAAATTGAGAGGCGAATAAGCTTGGGGAGAAACGTGACACGAAGTATAAACTGTCTTATGGAACCAATCTATCAATAACACTTCTAAAAGACGTCTTTACTCCTCACTACGGTTGAGAAGTTTGGGAGGTTGATAAAAGAACAAGAGGGAAACTGCTGGCCCTTGAAATGGACGTCTGGCTTAGGAAACAAGTAAGCAAGAAAATGGAAGTAATCTATCCTTGACGAAATAGAAAAAACAAATCGTCTGGTAGGGTCATGTTATACGAATGACACGAAAGTTGGCCAAAACGAGTCTTGCAATTGGTGCCGACAGAAACACAAAAGAGAGGAAGACTCAGACTTGCATAGCAGCAGGGAGTCCAAGAGGCTATAACGGCAAGAAAAATGCAAGACGCTTCATAGTCAGATAGAGAGACATGGGGACTGAGTGAGTGTGGAGAAACGGCGACAGCTGTAGAGCAACACCGTACTACATATAAGTTTGTAAATACTTCTTTTTTCGATGAAACGCATAGTTTTGAAGATTTAAGCGAAAAAATACCAAAAGGCCAATATTTTTATTTTTTGCCATTATCACTATGAAGCTGAACTTTTTTGGGGTGGCAAACATCAAATTCGAACTCAGTACCATCAAAAACATACAGAACCGCCGAGAAAAAAACTTTCGGATTTTTTCCTGGATTGGGCTCTTTTGAGCACCAATTGACTGGATTTTTACTAGACCTTCACGCTTCAGTCCGCTGTTCTTCCGACGCCATTGGGGTCGCGCGGGAAATCAGACAAGGCTGCCCTCTAAGCGGAGCCCTTTTTATCGTCATCATAGACGCGGCCGTCCGCATCACAGGAGGGTAATTAATACTAAAAGAAGAATATCGCGGAGTTCGTGTTGCGTAGCGTGGGCAGTGTGTGGGCGGTGATTGTCCTGCTGGAACAGCGCACCACCCTCCTGTTGCAAGTAAGATATCAGCACTGGCCGCACAACGTGCTGGATGTATCCAGAGCTGGTCAATGATCGCTCCACGGATACCAAAGACGAATGTGTTATTGCTCATGGGACACCACACCATCACTCCTGGGGCGTGTCCTACGCGACAAACATACTCCGGACGCTCGCACTCGCCTGTGCGACGTCGCACACGACCATCACTACAGTGCAGGCAGAAGCAGCTCTCATCACTGAACACCAGTGCACGACTCTCCGTCTCCCAGCTGACCTTGCACCACGCCAGACGTGCCCGACGATGGATCGGCGTGAATGGCAGTCGGGCTAGCGGTATGCGCGATTGTAATTTTAAAGCAAGAAACCGGACCTCAACGGTACGTGGAGACATGTTGGAGGCCACATGTGCCCGTATCTCGGCGTGGGTGGCCTATGATCTGCCCAGCTTGCCCTCTCGATGCGTCGATCTTGACGTTCGTCAATGCTCCACGGTCGCCCCAAAGTGGGTCTGCGGCTACGAGAATGCTTGTCTACCCATCGTCGCGAGCACAGCATCAAGGCCCACGCGGCCAGCAACGCGCCGAATGGACCACCCGCCTTCGCGCACGCCGACAGTCTGACCCCTCTTAAAATGGTCCAATTGCTCAAAGGACGAACGAGTGCCACGCCGTGCCATACCGAAGTCCCGACTAGACCTTATCGCAGTGGGCAGCGCGTTTTAAAGCCGCGGTGTACCATTGGCGCGCCCGGACCATTTCACCACGCTATCATTACATCACTGGGCGTCAGTTGTCCTTAAAATGTCAATCGCGGCTTCTACGATCCCCCATAACTCAAGTCCCTTATCGCCTACATGACTGCTCGTGGCCTTCTCCGTTTCGAATTTTTTTTCAAGCCAGTGTATTTCATTAATTTCAACCGCAAATTACGCAAAAGTACCCTCTTTGTACAAAAATGTACATGACCTTTTTTGCGTAGCTAATTTAATAAAACAGACATTGTCTGAATCTCTATCTTTAATTTTGTAGAATTAAATACTTTTTGCAATTTTGGAAAAATGGTCGATTTCAACGGCAATTTGACCTGCACCATTCTCTTAAACGGTCTTTGCTTTATTCAACAACAAAATTTTATCAAAAAATTTGGAGAAAATTGGCTGAATGCGTTTTGCGCTAGCATTGTGCACAGACTAGACAGACGGATTGAGAAACGTTTTGCCATCAATAGATTTTTCGCTATGAAAGACTCACAAAACAGATTCTGGCCACACAACGTGTTAAAGGATTTTTTAAATATATTTAGCAACTAGATTTATCAACGTTTTCGATACCAGGGCACGGCAATGAGAGTTTTTATGTAGAAAATTCGTCTTTTTTTGGTGACGAGTACAGGACTGTCTCTTCTTACGTTAGCAAGTGCGCGAAAGTGTAAAAGCACTTACTACTTTTAATTAATTTATTTAGTCACTCATATACACTTATTACACGCTTTAAAGTAGTAGTATTTTTTGAATTGCCTAAGTGTTCTATTTTTAAATAGAATTATGTGAAAGTTTTCAATATTGCTTTAATGAAAAATTTTAAAACACCTTTTTTCTTGAACAGTTGCTTCTACATCGAGAACGTAAATATGTTTTGCCATGTCTTTAAGTATATCCCAAATTTTCTTTTGAATGAAGACTTTAAGCAATTCAAAAGTATCATCATAATTAATGTCCTTGAACCGACATTAAATCAATTGCAGCTGTCCTTGAACACAGCAATATAAGAAAAAATATTATATTATAATTTACTTCATTTTCGTAATATCAACTGAAAGAGCTTTAATCTGAACACTCACGTATAAGTAGTAATAATCTTTGTTTGAATAATTGTGAATTTCATTGCGAGGTGTATCCTTCGTAAACTTATATCAATACATTTTCTCTTTCTAATCTATTTTTTGATAACCACTGTTTATATAAACATTTGTTAATGGAATGTAATAAGGTTAAAATAAAATTAGAATGTATACTGCAATTTTCTTAACTTTGCCTTTCAAGATCTTATATCACGGTAGCTTTATATCACTGTTTTCGCGTGTTTCTCTGTCTTGCCGCTAGATAGAGAAACACACGACATACAGTGACATAATGAGGTCCCCACGAAGGTACCGCATAATGCCACCGTGAAGTAGGGCCTTGAGGGGAAAACTCGCAGAATAGTTGACATTTTGTGGTCACATGATGGCACCAGCGCCGTAACCTAGGAAACATCAAATCAGAAGCTTCGGCATTTGCACATTGTCGTCACCTAAGATTAGGGGAGAAATGTTACGAGTAAGCAAATGCCATGAACAAACCCTTTACGAGTTTCTCAACATTCCTTTCTTCTGTTTGCCTAATTAGTGTTGAGAGCACGTGGTAGATCCACGGTCACCTTCACTGAAAGTATCCGTTGGTAGATCACGAAGTTTGCGGCAACGTCGCCCCCATCCACACCCAAACATTCTAATTTTACCCGTAATATAAATACAAATCTGAAAATAGAAAGGTGTATTTAATAATGATGGAATTTCTTTATATAGTGATTAATAATAATTTAATAATATTTATGATGCGCATAAAATGGCTTAACTCATCTGCGTTCATCGCAAATTACATAACCAACTCTGATCTGTAATTAACTCACTAGAGCCTCACGCACCTCACCTCATGCAACTAGATATAGCGGAATAAATCCAAACAACAGTAAAATGTTTGAAGATTCAATCTAAATAGCTTGCCTTTCAAAAAACCCAATCGCTAGAGAGATTGGTACCAATATATATATATATATATATATATATATATATATATATATATATATATTGCCGGGTTCCATTCGACAATGATGATGAGTTTTTTTAAACAAATTCTTCATATTTTTAAAGTCAAAGTTGCAATTTCATCATGTTTCAGTGAATCTCTTTTTTGAGATCTAATTTATAAAAGACTAGGTTGCGTGTGAGAGCCGCAACGGTATGTATGCTACTAAAACTAATATACAAGACGATGAATGCCACTTAGATTGATATTATTTTTAAAAAAGCTTCTCTTCATGTTTTTCAAACATTACCTAATGGATATTCTTATAAATTATCAATCTTGTGAGTAGAATTACAACAAGTAATTTCTCATTAGGTACTCGAAAAATCAAATGTTTAGGTTTGAAATGAGTTTTCAAATGTGCATTTGGCAGAAATGCTCAAATGCATTTTCAATTAAACGTGCCTTTGCAAATTGAAAACCTGTGAACAGGACCAAAATTTTACCCTCTAACAATACTTCCTTAAGCTTATTACAATTCTGCAATTAGGGATCCAAAACCTCCCCAAAAAATATATTTTAGGTCAATAGACGACAGCTTGAAGATGACAGTGGGGCAAAACTGAAAGATAGCCCTGATGGAAAATTACGAAACTAAACTAGTAAGAGACAGCAGTTTGTTGCCATCTACACACCACTTTGAAGCAATTATGAAGAAAAACAAAATTAAAAGTTCTTGGAAAGAATCCTAGGACTTCATACATTCAAGACGTGGGATACTTTTGGAAGGAAACAGTGTTGCTCATCCAGATAATCGAATGAGCAACAACTGTTTCAAAATATAAAAGTAACACACCCCTAACAGCCCAGTTATGTGGTAATATTTCTAATACAAAATGATATTACTTTGGTAGGAGGACACCCCAAACAACAGATAACTTGGAATAAAATTCTAGTGATTTTCTAGACTCCTTAATGCTCAAAATAAAAATATGTAGAAGCAGTACAAATGTGTTTTTAATTTGTCGTTATTCCGTTTCTTTAATATGGCAAAATAATAAATAAATTAAATTAAATAATTTTAAAAACATAAATTGCTAAAAAACCCTGTATATCTTAATTTCTGTGCATATCCGAATTCTTGTGGAATATTTGCATGTGTAATTTCAGGGCTAAAAGCTCCTGTAAAAACTTCCCAGCTCTAGTCATCACAAAATGTGATTATATTCCCACAAATTCTCAGAAAGTACAGTAATATTATTCCAAAAAAAAATTACAATTGTTATAAATACCTGTTGAAAACAAGGGATCAAATAAACCTTAAAAAAGTTAACAATCATATAAAACAAATTGGATTTTTTCATAAATGTATATGGTCATATTTTGATTACATTTTTTGAATACATCAAATGTTTAACATTAACTTTAACTGTACAAAATTTACAAATTGCATCACTGATAACAAAAGGGCCATTATTATTGCATGAATTACAATTATTTTATTTTGAAACTAATGTTCTTGCCTGATGGAAACGAAAAGATGTTATTAAATTGATACAAACCTTGAAACCAGAATATGTTAATTTGAAAAATTACACCATTAATAGAAACCCTTCATTGCTTTGATAAGAGAGTTTTTGATTTCAATGGGTTTCTGGCGATCTCATCCATTCTTTCCTATAAGTAACTGTTTCATCTGTTGGCACAATCTCAGAGATTTGGGTTCTCAGCCTTAAATCCTCGCATGTTTGCCTTCTTTCCAAATGCAGTATAAAGTGTTTCAAATCTTTTCTCTGGATGTCGATCTACTTCTTCACCTTTCACACTAAAAACAACAAAACAAAATATAAAACAGCGATAATATATATGAATTTGATATACTGGATATTGCTGGCACTTATCATTCAAATTCTAGTTTCATGTGATTTTTCGATACCTCAAAACACTTTTTACTATATGTTTTTAAACATCAATATAATCAAGGAATATTGAATTCATAATTGAACATAAAACTGACTATGTTTGTGTTCTAAATTTACTAGAACCACTAATTGTAGTTAGGAAAAACTATGAGCGTTCCACACCAGCTCATACTTTTGGCAGTATCTGTAACTTTGGAAATTTGTTAAATGTCAGAGGAATTCAACAAATACGAGACGTTTCTTATTAGTGACCTTTGCTCTATTCAAGGGGAAAATGTTGGATGGCCATTTTGAGAAAAGTTTTCCATAAAAATGCCAATGAACTTCAAGCCAAAAATCATATGTACTCATTGAAAAAAAAGTAGAAATTGACATGGGTATTGAAGGTATAATTTATTCATGAACAACTAGCTACAGAATCTCATTACAAGTATACACAAATGCCTGTTGGTACAATCGACGAATTACAATGTTATGTCCTTTCAGGCGTCCATTTTCACTTCAATACACAATAACTTTCCTCTCTAGGAGCCATCCATAAACTACTCACAATTTATTTGGGCCTTTTTTTAAACCCTCCCACCTTTTTTTACAAGATAACTCAACCCTCTAGTGTGATTTTAAATTTATGTTCAACCCCACCCCCAATCAACTAAAATTAGTTTAATACATGTAGTATATAAAGAAATAAATACTTTAAAAATTTATATCAGAATCAATACGTATACTTAAATCATCATATTAATTTTTAAAAAAAAAGGATTATTTTAGATGTTATTACATTTTTTTAATATACTAAGTTCCAGATATTAAAAAAATTGTTTATGTTGAAAAATTAGAAAATGTATAATTTTGGGATAAGATTTTCTTGACCAAAAGAAATTTTTAAAAAAATTCTTATAAAAATTCGTTTTTATTTTTAAATTTTCACCGCATGCGTCACAAAAAAAAAACACAAACAACGGAAAAAACCAACTTCGTGGATAAAACCAATGGATAAGAGCTTTATTTTAAAACCAATAACGGGGGGGGGGCGCTTTTTTTTCTTTTGTTTAAACAACAATTGCTCCCAATCTCTACTTTTGAAAATTCAAAGGGCATTTTATGGAAATGTAAAAATACAGGCCAAACCCTGTCTCTGGAAAGCATATTATAAACGTATACATATTAAGCACAGAATACTTTCGTTGATTGAGGAAGGGCACCAAAATCACTATTAATTTACCCCAATTCAGTCACGTGAACTCTGAATTTAATTTTATGACCAAGAAATATAATAATTATATTAAAAATAATAAGATAAGGAACGAACATCAATAGAAAAAACATTCTTAACAAGAATAAAAAAAAATTACCTCATTCAACAAATTAAATGAGAACAAATGAATGTTACCGTGGGACTTTCAGGTCAATTGGAAAGATTGTAAGAAAGAACAAACACAAAGACCAAACAAACTACTGCGAGCAAAAAAAACATACTTGAAGGGAAACAAATAAAGGAAATCATATAAAAGTAATTTCACGTGACCTTAGCAGGCTTAAAAAAAACATGAACATATGCATTGGTCCCCCAGAAAATTTTGAAAATCGTCCCAAAGACCTAAACCTAATAAAACAGTATTTCAATAAATTAAGCTCCATTCCTGATATTTTCCTTTTTATGAGCTCTCAAACCCATCGTTTGCAATTCTGTAAATGATTCGTTTTTAATCAAATATATTAATTAATTGTATCATTTAATTATAATTTTGTCCTACTTGTAATATCTTTTGTTTATTTATTAGGAAAAATAAGCTTATGAAAAACAATAAATTATACACTCACATTTTTATGCAATATAAAATGCTATACAGAATACAAATTGAATAAAATAGCTAATTAGAAAAGGGAAACCCAGAAAGTAGTTGGCCCTCCCTCTTGTTTTTTAAGGCAACCAATGCCAACCTTTATCAATGAAGAAAAATCATGAATCCCCAAATCCAGGAACTTCAATAAAACAGAAAAATATCATCATACCTTCAAACTGCAATCGCTTTCAGTCACACTACGAGCCTCCAGTCCATCAACAACCACTCGGTTGATATTTTCTTTTCTAATGGCTCTTGTATAATGAGTTATATCTGGTTTTTTTTTGAAGTTGTGCAACTGCAGCTTTATTAACGTTTTTCTGCTTCAAGGCCTACATCAACAACCATGTTTTACCCACACAGCTATTTTATTTAAACATATCATGTCATACATCTGTACCATTTTATACCTGTATCTGAGATCGCGAATGATCTTTGATTGTTGCTGTTTAACAGCTTGGTTGAATAGATTTCATTTCTTGCTCATAAAGTGCTTTCGATTCTGACCTTCTTTTCCATTGCTGTTGTTTTCTTTCGCTCTTGTTCCTCCTACATGAAAATATTCAGTTAAATGCCGTCAGTTAAGGAATGGTAGGTTAATTGAGGAAACACCTTTTATGGTAAAAAAATACTACCTTCCTCTGGGCTTTTTGGCAATATGTTTATGCTCATCTTCCAATACTCTCCTCAAGCTGTTGTTGACGTTTCGCCGCGTCTGTCTCATTTGCCTGCGGCCTTTCGTGCTCTGGCAGCAACTGCCTTACTATTTTCTCCCACCAAACTTCTTCGCATGAGTATTATAACTATCCTACCAAAAATAAATTTAAAGCAATTAATCAGAAATTTTCCCTATGATTAACCAAAAAAAAAACATAATTTCTCACAATTTTGCTTACAAACTGATTGACTGATCAATGTACCTACACAAGGTAAGAGGATAGAGCCAAGAAACACCCACACATAACCATCAACGGCCGGGAGATCTAACGATACCCGCATTCAATCGGAAGCGCCACTGTTCGCCCCGACGTTGCGGCATGATTTGACCGTCGGTGCAAAGCCTTCAATTAAAACGCCCTTCTAAAAAAGTATGTATAATCTGAGTGAATTTTTTTTCAAAACATTTCTATTGGAGGATCTGGGTAACGAAAAATTTATAATCTTGTTCTTATATAGTAAAATATTCCTCTTTGACTGGCAACCGCCAGCACACGTAACTAAAAAAGTTAAACTATTGAAAATTTTAACCAAATATAATTTATTCAAATTGCCAGTTCTGATTGCAAGCAGGTAAACTTAGATGCGTAACTGATATTTGGTGTAAAATGTAAATGAAATAAATAAAGCTTATATGAACACAAGTATTTTTACACTTTTAATATTATTAAAAAATTAACATAAACTGTGTGCGCTTTTAAAAACTAGTTATTTTTAATTGATAGGATTGGTACAAACCACTGTAATTTTTTGTATGTTTTCCCGCAAGGTTAACCACATTTATTCGAATGTACACAATGTGAAAAGACAAGCTACAACGTGATAATATTTAACTTGCCATATCTACGAATTTTTTATAATAAGCATTCGTTCATAACATTTAATGGCACCATTTTTAATTGTATTTTAAAAAAGGAAATGTAACGAAATATTGTAACGGTTTTTGAAGGCAAGTTGGCTGAAAAAAATGTGACGTTTCAGGTGTCCTTTGTTTGGTATCCAGAGTGATGTGATATGTTGTGTATGTGTGTGTGTATATATATTATAATAGTTATATAATATTATATATATATATATATATTGTAACCCACACGTGTCTCTTGTCTGTTATGTCTGAAAACGGGAATTGGGAATTTCAATAGATAAATGGTCAAAAAAAAAACAATTTTTTTTTTTTTTTTGCGGTTAACAAATATTTTACTTTATAAAAAATTGATGATGGTGATGATGAATTACAATGATTTACAAATTTTAATAAAAATATAAACGACCCTTTTTTTCATTATGACATGGTCATCTACTTAAATTAATACGCAATAAAACAAACAATGGGTCTTCATATCACTTTGCTTCTGAAAGGCCACCCTTTCCACCCCCTCGCTTTTCGCTCAGTAAATGTTTCGACCGCATTTATGCGGGAGCCAAAGCGGATTTATTTACCTCGTTCTGTTGGCGGGCCTCTTTGCTACGCCCCGTGGTGTAGTCGCCCGTCGTCTCTGTTCGGGGCCGCCCCCCTTCCAGGCAGAGGCGGTGAACACAAGGGAGCCCCGCGTGGCCGTTTGAATGTCGCCGCGCTTACCCGCGGGCTCACTTACTCCAATCCCCGGCGTCTCCAACCTCAGGCCAGCCACGGTTGATCATCGGCGCGAGAATGGAAGTCAAAAAACTTCTCTCTCGCAATATGCTTTCGAATGCTACTTGATTGACTGAGAACAATCGAAGTGAATAATCGTGACCGAAACTATGCGAATCCCGAGATTGAAATCATTGGTTTCTCCGTTGGCCGCAGTCAAAACATCGAGTGACTTTCCCGTGGGCGTTTCAGCCCACACAGTCGAATCGACTCTCCCGGCCGTCTCCAACCATCGAAAGTCTAATCGGACCACTCCCGGCCCGTCTCCAGCCCTCTAGTCAAATCGACTGATTCCTGGCCGTCTCCAGCCATCAAGTTAATCGACCGCTCCCGGCCGGTCTTCCAGCCATCAAGTCGAATACGACTAACTCCCGGCCGTCTCCAGCCATCAAGCGCTTCACCGAGCGGCGGCCTAGTAAACATCAAACTCGGTACCCCCCTCCCTCCCAAAGAAACGTGTTTCCTCCCGATACGCCCGGGGGATGAATTTCCACGGAAGCAGGAGGAGTGTGCGTGTGTCTGACCAATCCACCACGGGAAAACTCTTTCTTTAATGGCCAGAATGTCCGTTTCTGTTGTAAAAAAATTATCGGCTTTTTTTCTTCGCACGTGCCCGCTGACAGTTGAGTTGTATTCTCCCCCCCCCCGAGGAGGCGCCACTCAGAATTGGGTTTCATTTTATGCAGCGGTCGATTGAATGGGCGCACACTTGACATATATGGCGCAGGGGGTGTCACTGCCATAAACGTTATAGAACCCTCGCCTCAATAGACGGAAACGGGGCGCGAATGCATACGACCCCTCCCTTTTTCGCAAGCTGCGGTCGCGGGCGTCTGCTATTTTTTCTGATTTTTTTCATGGTACATTTTCCAACGCAAGGGAGCTTGCTTTGCCGTACA